CCCCAGCCTGTACTGATACTGGGCGTTGCCCTGGCCCAGGTGCAGGACCTTGCACTTGGCCTTGTTGAGCCTCATGAGGTTAACACAGGCCCACCTCTCCAACTTGTCCAGGTCTCATAATTTGTAAACCTTCTCATGGCATCTTCTGATGTTTATAAACCTGGCTATAAAATAACCAAACATTCCTGCACCGTCTATAAATGATGAGATAGACAAAAAGCATGCAAAAGTGTTCCGATTAAAATAGTGCTTGGAAAGGAAGAGCCTCACAGAAATTTTATTGTTGTCATGCTCTATCCACTGCCTAGCAGCCGTGCAGGAATCACCGAGGAGTCTGGAGACCAGTCAAATAAGATACTGAAATGTCAAATGAGAGTTTTGGAGATGTTCTTATTCTTCCACTGAACTTTCTAAATTCCCTCAACATTTGATGGGTGTCCTTTTCTTATAAATATTATGACTTCTCTTGCCCTCATACAATTCTTAATAGAATCCGGAGAAGATTCAACAAAAACAGAAGCGATGAAGAATTAAGTCAAATGAAGAAATATCTAAATATGTGTATTTTATAAAACTTTTTTTTTCAGTAATGACTATTCACATGAACATTCAGTTGATACAGTTTCATACATACAAGCACACACATTTCATTCTTTGTTGTGCCAGTGCTTTTGAAACTGTTATCTTTGGCTTTGGTCCCAGTCTGAGATCTAGGTAAAAGATCTCTGAGTCATGTTTCTTGAAGAATCAGGACTGTCTACTTGAAGTTGTGTGGCAATGAAGGCACGGACTCCGAGTTCATGCACAAGCGCAAGCAGCATCGAGATCACTTTATTTAACGCTTTTACATCCTTTTATACCCATCCCAAAACAAAGCCTCTACTTTTCTCTTATCACCTAGCTACTTGGCAAGCACTGAGTCCAAGCCTTATATGAAAACAAAGTTCATCTTGCAAGGTTCATTAGTCGCAGCATTGACTTTGTTTTTCACTTAGCTCTTGTTCAGTTATCCCATGGCTTGCGACCAACAAGGCCAGGGATATCTCTGGTGTCTGGCTCAGCCGCCACACCTGCAGATTCTGTACTTGTTCCCACAAAGTTGATCTGCTGTCTGTTCTCAGGGCTAGAAATCTTTGCAGGCTTTTGGAGTTCAAAACTATTAATTTCCTTAGGTAATACAGATATCTTTCATCACTCAGCACTTTTGTATGATGCCACTCTGTCTTCCAGAGCGGCACTTAATCTTATTGCCCCATTTGTATTGCTGAGTAGGTACCCATCTCTTTGGTCTTAACCACCCTGTCTTGGAACTTTTTCCTCCAATGTGTATTCCTCTCCTTTAAATTTTGCATGTGTGCCAGTTTTTTCTTAACCCTATATGTGGAGATGTATTATTATGGATATTTTTACAAAGAACATCTGTTTAACATCTATCTGTTGCTAATATGCACAATGTAAAGCTAAATGTACGCCTTAGGTCCCTCCTGGAAAATATTTTTCCTGCCTTTTTTTTTTTTGGCTTCTCAGCTGTGTACATACTGTAAATGAGTTTGTATTCTGAAGCCGTAGTGTTTATGTCCAACGGCTTTCTCCCTCATCCATCCCTGCTCTCCTTTCCTTAAAGGTGGCTATTCAGAAACATTTGCTTTCTATTACTCTCTGTGTCAAACAGAAAACTATCGCAGTGCTCATGAAGAAGTTCCCATGTTTAAACTTTGCATGGCAACTTTCAGAGAAAGAGGACCTCCCAGCTTTTTTTCTTGAAGAGCTTTGTTATTTTCTCACCATAAACTCTCAAGAAGGCTGTCAGCTGTTCTTCCATGATGCTTGGTTGCTTGCCTGGAAGCTCGACCTCTTGAAATATCCCATTCTTATACTCTTCAGTCTTCAAGTCACATTGGGTGGTGTGCTTACCACAGTAACTGGAAAATGACTGCTGTTAAAGTAATAGCTGTTGTTTTAAAACTTACACAATATTTCAGAACCTCCTTGTTCACACCACTAACGAGCAGTTTGATCCCATGAATGCATACCATAGTTCTAAATTAACCCAGCCAGCTGATGGAAGCTTGAAAGCAATCAGTGTTCCTGCCTGCTTGGTAGGCATTCTTTCATTTGATCTGTAATTACTTGTGGCCTGGGTCCAGGAAGATGGAAAAGCTCTGCTCTTTCCCATTGTCCAAGAAGTGTTGAGGAATGTGTGTTATAGGAAAAAGTCCTTAATGGAAAAGGAAGTTAATAACATTATCTTGATTAATATTAATTTCTAGAAGGCTTTATTATATGTTATTTAATGGCTTTTGAACTCTTTAAATCCTTATAGGACAGGTCACCCTTGTGGACCTGGCTGTACAGTGTTAGTATAGATGCTTATACAGAGAAACTTGGTAACTGGTGTAGCAAAACTCAGTGTCAGATCTAAAAGGAAGGGAAAGGTGCATGTTGTCTGCAAAAGCTCTGAGTAAATTGATTTTGCTCACACTCATTCTCTCAGTGATTGCCTTCATTCGCACTCTTACTGCCACTTACTCACAAGCACTGAGTGAGTATGCGTGGTCTGGCGTTGTATGTGACACAAAGGACCAGGGGCACTGGCTATGAGTCCTCACCACAGCTCTGGGGCTCCTCATGATTCACACTGATGAACTAGTTTTTGGACATATCTCTCATGTCCATTTAGGAATAGTGTCTTGCTATTATCCTTCTGTTGTGATAAGAGAGGAGGGAATGGTGTGTATGATGTTCTGCAGCCTTGCTGCCATCCATTTTTCTGCTCTCAGAGTGTCTTCCATTAGTGAGTCACTTCTGCTGCAGCCTTATCGTACTGCACGTGGCCTGGGTTTGACACATTCCTCACTGTGATTGACCGGGAACAGTGCTCTTCATTAGGTTATTTTTTTAACCCTTGTTCTGCTCTTTCTTCTGGTCCTTTCTCTCTCACGCACGTATTTCCATTCATATGTAATCCTTGCCAAGATCAATACTTCTGTTACAAGTCTACATCCTGGTTACAGTTCTAGGAAAAATTTGGAATTACAGCTCTGCGGGACTTAGGCATCACAAATAACTGGTGCTCTCCCCATAACATAAAAAGACAAGAGTGGTATATGGTTCATTATGAGAACATGTTATGGCAAACACAGCAAGTCAGAAAGCTGCGTAACTCTAAAGCTTGTAGGAAAGCAGAATATAACCCAAACCCATAACTGTTCCTACTTACAGACACATATATATATATAAAAAAATACACCAGTGTGATGCACCAGTGTGAATGCAATATTTGACAAGGAGATGCCAGCTCTCTGTCCCATTTAAATACTACAAGGTCATGTGTGATAATGCTAAAACTGAGAAAAATTTAACCTCCAGCTTGATGATTATCTTTCTTTTGAGGAGAAAAAGACTGATATCATTATCTTTTGAGTATAATGAAATTTTTTTTTTTTACATTTTCAGTAGTGGCCTGTTTCAGAATTTTTATTCTGTGAAAAAAAATTGATTTATTGAACTGTGTAGATGATTCGCCTGTGGCTTCATTTATATCCCCTTGCAACAAACTGGGATCTTGATGCGATTGTGTTTGAAGCAACCCAGTGCCAAAGGCTTGAAGAAAATCTACATTGTAGACTAACAGTAGGAGGTACTACTGACTGATGGTAGAATTAAGTAGACAGTTACTGTCTGTTTCTGTTGCATTGTTGTATCCCACTGTTATCTGCTGTGCTTAAACATCTAAGAGCGTTCAGTTTTTCTGTTGCTACTGTGGACTGGATTCCCCGCTTCTCTAGATGGGAGTTGTTCCATTTTGAAATCTAAAGTACTTCTCCATGTTAATATTAACTATTCTGTTATTCAGTGCAGATGGATTTATGTGGTGCCTGGCTTTTTTTTTTTTTTTTTTTTTTTGCCATTGCTGATTTGTCTGAGCAGACAGGTGGAGCTGGATAAGAAGAGAATCATAGAATCATTAACGTTGGAAAAGACCTCCAAGACCATCAAGTCCAAGGATCAACCCAACACCACCATGCCTACTAAGCCCAAAGTGCCACAACTACACATTTTTTGACCACCTCCATGGATGGGACTCCACCACCTCTCTGAGCAGCCTGTTCCAATGCTTGACTGCTCTTTCAGTAAAGAAAATTTTCCTATTATCCAATCCAAACCTCCCCTGAGGCAACTTGAAGCCATTTCCTCTCTTCCTGTCACTTGTTACTTGAGAGAAGAGACCAACACCCACCTCGCTACAGTCTCCTTTCAGGCTGTTGTAGAGGGGCGATAAGGTCTCACCTCCAGCCTTCTTTTTTCCAGGCTAAACAACCTCAGTTCCCTCAGCCGCTCCTCATGAGACTTGTGCTCCAGATCCCTCACCAGCTTTGGACATGTTCCAGCACCTCAATGTCCTTCTTGAATTGAGGGGCCCAAAACTGAACACAGTGCCAAGTAGAGGGGCATGATCACTACCCTGCTCCTGCTGCCCACACTAGTCCTGATACAAGCCAGGATGCCATTGGCCTTCTTGGCCACCTGGGCACATTGCTGGCTCATATTCAGTTGGCTGTTGACCAATACCCCCAGGTCCTTTTCTGCCGGGCAGCTTTCCAGCCACTCTTCCCCGCGCCTGTAGCGTTGCATGGGGTCGTTGTGACCAAGTGCAAGACCTTCCCCAGCTTGGTGTAATCTGCAAACTTACTGAGGGTGCACTCAATCCCCTCGTCCAGGTCATTGATAAAGATGTTAAACGGAACTGGCCTCAGTACTGAGCCCTGGGGAACACCGCTTGTGACCAGCCGCCAACTGGATATAACTCTATTCACTGCAACTCTCTGGGCTTGGCCATCCAGCCAGTTTTTTACCCAGCAAATCATATGCCTGTCTAAGCCATGAGCTGCCAGCTTCTCTAGGAGAATGCTGTGGGAGACAGTGTCAAAGGCTTTACTAAAGTCCAGGTAAAGAACATCCATAGCCTTTCCCTCATCCACTAGGTGGGTCACCTGGTCAGATGAAGGAGAACAGGTTGGTCAGGCAGGATCTGCTTTTCATGAACACATGCTGGCTGGGCCTGACCCCCTGGTTTTCCTGCACGTGCCTGGTGAGTGCACTCAGGATGCTCCATAATATTCCCTGGTACCAAGGTCAGGCTGACAGGCCTTGCAGCTCCCTGGTTCCTCCTTCCATCCCTTCTTGTAGATGGGTGTCACATTGGCAGGCTGAATGGATTCCAGGCATAGAAATGATCTGACTGATGTAGTCTGCACAGCTCAACAGTGCTAGTAAAAAACCCAGGCTCGTAGCCCTCATATCAGCTGCTACAACAATTGCCCCAGCGTGACGTTACTGGGCACCATGTATTTTGTGTATCATAATTCTTGACCATGCATAGTTACTTCAGGTTTATAAGAATGAGTAACAGCTAATCCTGCCCTGTTAAAGAAAAATCCAATTTAGGCTGGGTGTAATTTACAGACTCTTTTTCACTGCTCTATAATTGTGTTTAACCTTCACTTTGCCCTGTAGTGTGTAATCAGAGTTCTCCTGGAAATGGTTGCCATGTGGGATTTGGCACTGGGATGTTCCTTAGGGAACAGATGCATACAAGCATCTTAGATCCATGTGGCTAAAATACTAGCGTAGGATTAGTGTCATTTTAATAAGTGTTTTCTAATGCCATCTCCTGCATGGCAGTAATGCACAACTTCTAAGCAGATGAAGTGCACAGATTCCAGAAGCTTTCAGGATGAAACTGTGGACTGGAAATGTTTATTGACTTCAGGTTTCCCTGTGCTTCTTGCAGAATCAATTCTCCTTTCCCACTAAGGGTCTGTGAGGATGTGACGGGGAAATCAGAAGTATATCTGTACGACATTTCTAGGTAATTCAGACCTTTACGACAGTGCTTCCCAACTCTTCTGTGCCTTAGCCCCACCTGAGAGGAATGAGCGTTCTGCACCTCATGGTGCACTAAGGAACCTGTGCAGGACAGTGGAACCTGTTTGTCTGTCCCTTTTGCCATGTGTCATCTACAGCGTGCTTCATTACCACTTCACCAGTGCAACCCCAGTCTTTGGTTGGAAACTGCTGCCCAAAGGCCTGATCCAGACTTCATAGACTACACCTGTAATCCCATAGTGCCTTGTTCAGCAGTTCCCTTAGTCCTCTCCCTTCTGTTAGCAGCTTGGTGGTGCACATTAATTACCAAAAGTGGATGACTACAGTAGGACTTTAGTCTTCTGTATAAACAGCCTACCTAGTCTTCTGAAGGAGAAGTGCAAGAGATCTTTTCAAAGGTTTCATTCATTTTGAAGTCTTTAGAGCTAGCTCTTAATGCTTTGGAATGATGCTTGGTCATCTACAATAAGAAGCAGTGCTATAGCAAAGCACAGATGGAGAACTGGTTACTATCCAAGTGCTATCCTTTTGAAAGATAGTTGTCTTTTTCAAGGCCAGCTCTGTCTTTTCTTGCCGCATTTTACTTTTTAAGTCATATAATCACTATTTTCTCGAAAAATCCCACAGGTAGGAGTTGATTCATTGTCCATTGATGGTATCTTGACAAAAGTGTTCTTGTAGGAGATGGAAAAGGAAAACTACTAATTTCTAGAAAGCCGTATCACTCATCTAGCTTGCTCAATAATTTGGAATTTAATTTCTTTATCATTAACTTCAATCAACACATTAAAGAAATTGAGTGTCTTCCTGCTAGAAGCAGCAGAAACTGATATACCATGGTTGGGAATTGCACTAGCAGCTAGTAAATCCTTCTGCATCTGTGATTCTGAGGCCACAGGAAGCTGTCTGGTGTTTTACAGAAGTCTTCCATTTCCAATACCATTATCAGTAAAATGGACATGTTTATTAAACTTAAATATAAAACATATAAAATGCAATTTGTTAAAAAGGAGAGTCTGGCCAATGGGAGGCATCCAGTGCGTTAGTCAGTGGGGTAATAGTGAGCTCTGGTGACAGGGGAAGCTGTGCAGACCCTGTGGGCCATATAAGCAGCAAGGTGCAAGGAGGAGGACTACAAGGAAAAAGATGAGTTGTGATCCATAACTTCTGACTGCCCAGGGTAGGCTTGGCTTCTTGCTCAAAATAGGGAAGGAACATGTCCAGAGGAAAGCAATGAAGCTGGTGAGGGGTCTGGAGCACAAGCCTGATGAGGAGCAGCTGAGGGAGCTGGGGTTGTTTAGGCTGGAGAAGAGGAAGCTGAGGGGAGACCTTATCGCCCACTACAACTACCTGAAAGGAGGCTGTAGTGAGGTGGGTGTTGGTCTCTTTTCCCAAGTAACAAGTGATAGGACGAGGGGAAATGGCGTCAAGTTGCACCAGGGCAGGTTTAGATTGGACATTAGGAAAAATTTCATCACTGAGAGGGCTGTCAAGCATTGGAATGGGCTGCCCAGGGAAGTGGTCCAGTCCCCATCCCTGGAGGTATTTAAAAGACGGGTAGATGAGGTGCTTAGGGCCATGATTTAGTGGTGGGATGGCAGGGTTAGGTTAACGGTTGGACTTGATGATCTTAAAGGTCTTTTCCAACCTAAACAATTCTATGATTCTATGAATAAGTAAGAGCTTTAGAGCATTAAAAATGTTTTGGTTCAGCATTTGAAGTGGGCTGTCTTTGTCATTGACCCGTAGGAGATGGGCTTTTCTGTTCTTGAAATTAGTGCTGTTTACAGAATAAGTCTGAGCAGTTAATAATGTAGAGAGAGGCAACATGTGTTTGCATCTCTTGAAATCAGAAACCAATGTACAGTGCCTTGCGTCTCCCCAGCAATCTGTTTAAGAGAGTTAAGTTACATCTCCTGTCTTGAACAAGAGTGGTCTCTGGAGAGAACATCTTCTCTAGAAACAGAACTGTATGGCTTTGTGTCACAGAGTATTCACTGGTTTCTGGAGGAGGATTACAATACTGAATAAATGCCAGTGTCTGTGTTTTAATGTGCATGTTTGTGCTGTTTCTCTTTATTTAATTGAACATTTATTTCACAGGTGTGCTGGTAATTGATGAAAGAGCCCCATGCTAGAAAGAATGACAGGAAATACAAAGTGAAGAACCCCCAGCCATCTCACTGCAAAATCTGTGCTCTTTTGTGCTGCACAGTGTGGTGCATTCTCTTTTTTATTTCATAACTGTGTGTGTTTTACTTGCCTAGGATGCAGCTCTTGATTT